ACTATAAATGCTGTGTTTTTTTAACTTCGTGCTTGATATAATAATATAAAATTAAAGATTCTTCGGGTATATTTTAGTCTTAGTAATCATAATAAAATAATTACTGTTCACGATTAGTAATATATTAATTTATTTTAAAAGCATGTATGAGGTTTCCCCACTCTAATTTTTAGGATTTTTCCCAAAAATTTCCCAAAGGTTTCATGCTCAATTAGGTGTTACTTCTCGAGGTATTCTAATCTGAATAATAATGAAACACTTACTTATATATGTATGCACGCGATGATTTTCCATTTTCTTGAATGATCAATAGTCGTTGATTAATGTCAGTTTCACGATAAATTTCATACCAATCAATAACTTACGTGTCTAATAAAACTAGTATAATTTATAATTATATTCACTATCCCAACCCTTGTAGCTATTAGTCGAATGGTGGTACACGTCACCTAAAAAGAAGTACGATGATGCTTGTTATAATATATAATTGAGCATCTCGATTAGGAAAGTCATTAACAATAATGGACTAGTTTGTTGATTATTATAATTTTTTAATTAATAAAAACACTAGTCATCTCTCCATATATTACACTGCAAGAGGAAACAGGGTGGAACTTCATATCCAAGCAGGGGGGACAAGGGCAGAGGTTATACAGTAAATGAAGATGATTTTTCATGGGGTTTTGAACCTTGACAAAAGCTTGGCATTTTTTTGAGGGTGGATTTGAACCTTTGCAAATTAACTAATCAATGGCACCAGTTTTTTTCGAGGGTCGTGAGAAACCATTATAATTTGTTGTATATTATAATTATCATTATTATAATATATAAACCATGCATGCAGACCTACTAGAAATTAGGCTTAGATCTCAAAGGATGTATACAGAAGCCTGACTCTATCAAATCAATGCTAGCTTATGATTTCAAGGGTCTGAAAATTTGATTGTAATCCCAAGTGTATATTTGTTCGTTGACTGGCATTTTGAATTTCTTGCAACAATTGGGCGTCATAATTTAAATCACACTAGAGAGGTATACGTGGGTTAGGTCAGTTATTTAAAATAATGTGTTCATCCTTGTATTCGAGTTCAATATCTCTTCTTATATATTAAAGTAGTTTAGAATATTCATTTGTTAAATTGTCAAAAGGTAAAAAGATAGACACGGGAGTGCGAAATGCGAAAGGAGAACAGTCTAGATTCAGGGAATGAATGGAGGTAAAATGTTTCACTATCACAACACAAGTAAAGTGCCCAAAGATCTAAAAGATACATTTTGTTTATCATTAATTTCTTAAGTGGACGAGGTAGAAGTATATGACTAGTGATTATTGACTCTCATTTGCTTGCAAAGTATACTTAGTCTACAAATCTATTATGAAATATGTTGTCATCACATGGATTAAAAATAATATAATTATGTGTTTACAATAATAATTTTGATCAACATTCTACTGTAGCCGTCAGAGGACTCACACCCCTAGAATAAAAAGAATGATCGAAGAACACTATAAAAACTTTTTGACTTGGGTCACGTAAACTAAGGTCATGTCAGAACTTATGACTAACCTAAGAGAAAAATATTTGAGATCATGGACCAGTCCCTTTTGTAGGACGGTAAATGAGATTTGATATAATTACCACATACTTGTGATTCTAATGGGTAAAATTCCATAATTTACAGCTGTAAAGACACTTGAAGCCCACACAATTACCTCTAATTTTTATTGTTGTTATTACTAATTTTTATTTATTTATGGTAATAAAATTATTTTTATTTCTTGCTTACTCTCCAAGCACAAATGTAATGAGAGCATGATTTACTTCTAATGAATTGAACATTGCTAATTAAACCCACTAGTGTACGTAGTGTTTTGGAGTAATTGGTCTTCTAGGAAATGTTCTAGATTCGAATTCTAGCATTCGTGTAGTATATATGAGTTTAATATGCTATCGCCCCTCTCAATAAGAAATATCTTCAAATAAAATTGTATTCAAGTCCTGATTATATTTTGACGTCCCTATTTCATGATCACATGAATGAGAAAGATAAAGGAGATTCAATAATTTTCTAAATTTAGAAATAACAATGGGAAACAAGGGGGATTTTCAAAAAAAATTAATGCACATGTAGCTAAATAACTGAGATCCCTCCTTCTAGGAAATGTTCTAGATTCGAGTTCTAGCATTCGTGTAGTATATATGAGTTTAATATGCTATCGCCCCTCTCAATAAGAAATATCTTCAAATAAAATTGTCTTCAAGTCCTGATTATATTTTGACGTCCCTATTTCATGATCACATGAATGAGAAAGATAAAGGAGATTCAATAATTTTCTAAATTTAGAAATAACAATGGGAAACAAGGGGGATTTTCAAAAAAAATTAATGCACATGTAGCTAAATAACTGAGATCCCTCCCTTTGGCATATTGACTCAAAGAAATTAATGTCTTAGTAATTCGTTCGATTATAGATATATCTATAGATACACCTGTATTTATTTATATATTTTAGGTCAAATTGTAGGAGAACCCTAGTAATTAATTGAAAAGAGAGTTGATTTTTCAACCTCCATTTTCTCCATTCACACTCCCTTTTGCTTTTATTACTTTTTAATTAATTTTGTTCTTTCTCTTTCCTATTCTACCCTTATTTTACATTAATTTCTTTTTTCAATTTACACTTCCATTTTCTTTTTCTTTATACATTTATATTATATTTTTTTTCTTTATGCTGTTAAATGA